AGGAAATGCCAAGGGTTTTAGGAGCTCTGTGCCAGGAACCCAGGCAAAGACTAAATGTGTTAATTTTTAAATCCACTACAGATCCCTTGATGTTGCTCTAATCTAAAATACTGTAGTTTTCAGAGCTGGGAAGGGGAAGGTGGAGGCATTCTCCGTAAAGCTGGTGTTTCAAGGGCTTTGAAGTCTTTTCGGAATCCTTTCTTCCAAAACACAGTTCTCTTGTCGCCATCCACATGGAAGATCCCTAGGGCTGGAGGGCCTTCCCTCCCTTCCTAATGTTTTCCTTTCTCTCTTCCTTCTGCAGTCCTCAGTTTTAGACTTTTCTTCTCGCAGAGTCCTACTTGCCTCCTGGTGTGGTCAGCATGGAGTCCTCCTTCCTCTCTGAGTTGTCAGTGCGCTAGGGCAGGATGTGGTTTCCTGCAGGTCTTGGCTACGCCACTCAGTGGAAGTCTAGGTGAGCACATCACACCCTGCTTCCCCATTAGTGCTGAAAAAACCAAGCCCAGACCCCTTACACTCCTTTCAGTCCCCCACCTTCCCTTGCTGCCTTCTCTGTCCTCACTCCTCTGCTATCTGGCCCTTGGGTTGTTGTCCTCCAAATAGCCCAGGGGTTTTTCCACCTCTCCACATTCCCCAGGTCAGCTTCTGGGCACACTTGTCCCTCCAGTCACAAACACTTATTGGATGTGTCCCATCTGCCAGGCCCTCTAGAGACACCCAGGAGGGCTTTGAGGAGGGAAGACCCGCTGGAGCTCTGCCTTCAAGGCGTTGACACCTTCCCTCCTTTTTAACCTCTTGCAGGTAGGTTCCAGACTCTCCTTGAGGCATTCTCCACTGCTCTGAATACAGGGCTCCCTCCCTCCTCCCAGCCTTTCACCCACTTGGCACCTGGCACCACTTCCTTGTTTTGACATTCTTGCAGTTTCTGAATCTTAGATCTACTTCCTCCATTCACTACACGTGTACCGAGTGTGTCTGGGCCGGGCAGTGAGGCACGGGCCCGCTCCCTCGAGGCTCTGGTGTGTCAGGTGGATGATAAAGAGGAAATGCACAGCGGTAACACACCAGGGCAGATGTTATGAAGGAAACAGGTGTTGCGATGGGGAGTGGGGTGCTAGTCTAGATGGGGTGTCAGAGGAGCCTCCTCCCTACCCAGGAGGTACCACAAGGTCAGGGACTGTGTCATACAGGGCAATCTCCTTCATTATAAAATGAGAGGCTAATTCATACTTGCTAAGAAATTTAGAGCTGGATATGGAAGCTCACGCCTATAATCCTAGCACTCTGGGAGGCCAAGGCGGGAGGATCGCTTGAGGACAGGAGTTCAAAACCAGCCTGGGCAACATAGTGAGACCCTGTCTCTACAAAAATTAGCCGGGGGTGGTGGCACATGCCTGTAGTCCCAGCTACTTGGGAGGCTGAGTCAGGAAGATCACTTGAGCCAGGATTACAGTGAGCTATGATGACACCACTGTGCTCTACCCAGGGCGACAGAGAGAGACTGTATCAAAAAATAAAAAAAAAGAAAAGAAAGAAAAGAGGGGCCAGGTGCCCAGTGGTTCATGCCTGTAATCCCAGCACTTTGAAAGACAGAGGCCGGAGAATTGCTTGAGGACAGGAGTTCAAGACCAACCTGAACAACATACCAAGAGCCTATCTCTACAAAAAAAATATGGTTGGGTGCAGTGGCTCATGCTTGTAATCTTAGCACTCTGGGAGGCTGAGGTAGGAAGGTCGCTTGAGCTCAAGAGTTTGAGGATGCAGTGAGCTATGACGATGCCACTGCACTCCAGCGAAACTGTCTGAAAAAAAAAAGAAATTTAAACGGTCTTTTGCATTCACTTCCACTTTTTTTTTTAGAAGTTACAGACTTTAATATACAGTTTCAGGGGGACTCACCTGATTGGACAGAGGAATTTCGAGCTGGGTCCCAGAGCACTTTACCCAAGGAGCCTCAGTCAATCATCCAGCCCAGGGTTATGTGGGGGGCGGGGGTGCTGAGGGAGATGCCCCTCCCTCCTTTGGCTCCACTTTCCTGAGGTCCATTCTCCTTCCCAGCGAACTTGTTGCTTTGAAAAAATGAGTCCATTGAGATGGAAATGTCACTGTTTTTGACCAGTGTGTGTGGCCTAGGAGGTGCTAGCCTGGAGTGCTGCCATAAGAGCCGCAGCCCCATTCTAGAGCATTCTCTCTGAGCCAAGCATGGAGGGCATGAGAGCTTTGCATACATAACTCATTTCACCTCACTCCTCATGACAGCCTGCAAGGGAGTATTAGAGGGTCATCCGTATTTGACAGGTGAGGGCACTGAGGCCCAGTGAGGTCCCATAATTGCCTAAGGGTCACCGTCCTGGAGTCCAAAGACAGACCTGTCAATCTCCAGAGCCCCTGGTTCTGACGACCATCTGACCGTCCACTACCCAGAATCCCCAGAATACTTCTGGACAGCTTCCTCATGGAGGGTGTGATCCAATTCCATGGAATGACACCGTGAAGCAGAGCAGGTAACGTTAACCCAGGAAGTGGTGACTTGTCTGAGGTGCTGGGGTCACCATAGTGCAGAGGGCCATCATTTCCCCAGCTGTCGCTGCCCTATGGCAGAAGCCAGGGAGTCCTGGTGGGTGCTGGTTACACTGGGAGAGGCCACACTGCCCAGTTCTTAGCAATCCAAGAAGGAAGGGAAGAGGTGGCCCAGAGCCCAGAGATGAGCATTCTGTCCCTTGTATCCCCACACCTTTGTCATCTAAAGAGTAGTTATGATAAGAGAACCCACCTTACAGGGCAAGTGGTGGGAGTAACTTGCTCCGTCAGGAGGAAACAGACTACAGACAAAGCCAGACCAGCCACACTCTGATGCTACTGCTCAGGCCAAGTCTAGCAGGCACCTGCTATGGGCTCAACTCCAGTCTAGGCTCTGCATCAAGTGCAAGAAACGACACTGAAGAGTGATTCTGACCAGCTTAGCTCTGGCCTCTAGGGCTATGACAGAAGTTGAGAGGAGACTCACTGATATGATTTAGTAGTAACTCTATAGACAGGCCAAGGGGTGAACACATACGTAGGAGAGTGTGAGCAGAGGAGTCTTGACCAGCAGTAAGAGGTCAGGATGAAGTGGGCAATGAGGGTGGTGGTGATGCAGGTGGTGTGTGGGCTGAGCTGGTTTTAAGGGGGAGATGGCATTTCAGGAGTAGATAAGATATGTAGCAGGCACAGAGCATTTTCTCTGTGAATCTCAAGAAGGCAGTTGGCGGCTGTGGTTAAGAAAGCAGGCTCTGGAGAGGACTGTCTGTTGGAATTTAATACAGCCACTTACTGAGTGTCACCTCGGGCAGGTCACTCTGTGTCTCAGTTTCCACCTTTGTAAACTGATGGAAACTGCAACAACTCATAGGATTGTTATGAGGATTTAAGGAATGAATCCATTTAAATGCATACTACAGTGCTTGGCACTTAGTAAACATTCAATAAAAGCTATTATTATGTCATTTTCTTGACTTGTTCATTTAGTCAGGGATGGAAAACTCCCATACCTGGAGGCAGTTAGCAAAAATGAGTGAAGTCAAGGAACTGAAGGATCTGGTCTAAAAGGGAGGCTGATGTTAAGGGGATTGTGGACCCAGTGCTGTCAGATTTTCCTCTTGAGGAATCTCACCCACGGTTCCAGCACAGCTCTTTAAAAGGTAAAGACCTTGGCCAAGTGCAGTGGCTGACGCCTGCAGTCCTAGCACTCTGGGAGGCCTAGGCGGGAGGATCCCTTGACATCAGGAGTTTGAGATCAGCCTGAGCAAGAGCAAGACCCTGTCTCTACTAAAAACAGAAAAAATTAGCAGGGCGTGGTGGCATGCACCTGTAGTCTCAGCTACACTGGAGGCTGAGGCAGGAGGATCGCTTGAGCCCAGGAGTTTGAGGTTGCAGTGAGCTATGACCATGCCACTGCATTCTAGCCAGGGCAACAGAGCGAGACTCTGTCCAAGAACAACAACAACAAAAAAAGTAAAAACCTTTTGCATTTTTCTCCTCAAGCCTATTTTTTTTTTCTCTCTCTCTCTTACCCCCGCCCCCGCCTGACCCTGCCCTGCTTTTAGGGAGTGCGGGCCCTTGGCCAGATCTTGAGTTGTGAGGTTTGTCCTCAGCATCTCCTCTTCCTCCTTGGGAAGCCCTCTACCCGCCAGGTGGCTTGTGCCCACCTCATCTTTCTCTAGTTCCGCGTCCACCACGTATTCCCCATCCCCCTGGACTGAACTCAAGTGTGGGGCTCGGAAACTCAGAGCGCGCTGGCGCGTCACTCTTCCCAGGGCGAACTGCAAACCAGAGGAGTGACTCTGCAGAGGCAGAATTCCGGGCGTCCTGAGCGCGCGCGGGGGCGGAGCGGGGTCTCCCCGGCGGTGGGCAGCCTGTTCGCGAGGCCTGCAAGTTGCCCGTGGAGAAACTTGAACAGGATGTTGGTGCCACTGCACGAGAGGAGCACGGTCGATCCTCCCCGAGCCTAGCTGTGGGCATCCGCGAGAAAGTGGGGAGAGAAGGGAGCGGGCTCCTCGCTGGGCGACTCAAAAACTCAGACCCTGCGAGCTTCATGCGGGAAAGCTTCCTGAGGGACTGAGTGCTGGGTAGCGCACGGAAAAGGGAACGCCGTCCTTTTCTTAAGGCATTGTCCTTGGCTTCCACTGACTGGCTTTCCCACCCTCTGGGAAAGACATTTCTGGAAGGGAATTGTCTGAACCGAAGGAACAAGCACAGGAAAGCAGCCCGGGAAACCAGCGCCTGCACGCCCTGCTCTCTGCAGCGGGAGGAGCGCGTGTTCCTCTCCGCCAGGTGGCGCTGTTTCGCTTCCCCCCCCCAGGCCTCCGGCTCTGGTCCCCAGAGGCCCCAGCCGCAGCGGCCGCTCTAGCCGGCCGGCGCGGGCTCTGTGGTTCCGGGCGGAAGTGAGGCGCCGAGCGGAACGGCCTCTGGTGACATTTTCTTGGGGCGGCGCGGACGACTGAAGGGACTTGGTGGTGAAGGCTGCGGAGGCGACGAGGTTCACTTTGGTCCCGGCGAGGGCTCTGGCCGCGACCCTCTGCTCGCCATTGGGGCTCGTGCCTAGGAGGAGAAGGCGGAAGTGGCCGTCGCATCCCGAGTCACCGCGGCCGGGACAGTCCTGGCCGGGGGGTCGGTGCGTGCCCCGACGGGGCGCGCGGAGCTGGTGAAGAGGCACTGAGCCGCCGCGGAGCGCAGGTGAGGCGGGAAGGGGCGCAGGGCCGCGGCCTGCCTACTAGTCAAGCTGCGGGGCCCGAGCTGCGTCCCAGGGAGAGGTCGGGGCGAGTCGGAGGGGTGCGGGCCGCAGGTGAGGGATCTGCGGCGTCTGGGCGCTGGGGTTCCAGTGAGCCCGGCTGGTGGGCGCCGGGGGTTCGCACCCAGACTTGGCGGGAGGCGCGGCCCTGGTGGGGGCTGACGCAAGGGGGCCGAATAGCTCCGACCTCCTTGCTCGCCCGCCACCGGTGACCCTCTCGTCCTCCCGGCCCAGCTGAGTTGGCGCACCCACCCTCTCCAGTCGCTGGGGCCAGGTCGAGGCGAGTCCTTGTCCACGGGGGTAAGGGGAGGTTAGGGATGCCGCAGACCCCGGGCCACCCGGGGAGCGGCTTCGCGGCCCTGGAGTTGTCTTCAAGCAACTTTCCGGCTCCCCGTCCCGCAGGGGAAGCAGTGGCGGCAGCTCGGGGAGCCAGGGGGAGCTGGGGTCTGGCGCCGATACCTGCCCCTGCGGCGGCTGCCGTGGCCTTGGAGGAGGGAGAAAAGGCTTGGCGCCGCCTGCCTCTAGGCGCTTCTGCTATCTTCGGTCCTCAAACGCCTCCAGTCAATGGGAGAGATGTGTCAGTCTCCAAAATTGACCTCTTCTGGAGAGTTTGTCAAATTTATTTAAAAACCGGCGAGTATGTATACTGACAGAGTCCTGGGTTCAAGACTGTGGCCTTCCCTGACTCTTCCCAGAGAGTTCTTTTTCCCAGGAGCATTGGTACCTTATTTTTTATAGCACGGATCTTAGTGTATTGTGCTAGCAGCCCCTATCGGAACTTCACGTCATTCATTCTTACTTTTAAATTGCCCTGACCTGTCACACAATATTAATAGATGCTCACTGGTTGAAGGAAAGAACGTCTGTACTAGTCCTCCCAGAATCTGGAACTCAGATTCTTAACCTCTCTGACAGTTTGTTCTTGGATGGGCTTTTCGTTTTTTTTTTCCTGAGCTTTTGCTTTCTGAATCCCTCCACCCAGTAGGATGGAAATCCCACCGATGATGCTTCGTCCAGGTTGGGCCTCTTAATTACAAATACATCTGGCAGTTTTGCTTAGACTATTATTATGTAGTATCATTGGGCACATGCTAACAGTTTGAATCACTCCCTTTCTTCTCTTGGGATATTTTAAGAATGGAGGCTATTAACTTTCTAATGTGGTTTTGCTGATCCTGGCAATCCGGATTCCTCCAGTAATCAGAGCATTGCCTTTTGGTTTAACAAGCATTTTTAGAGGCCTACAATTGATAGTTATTACCTGATGTCCTGAGGAGTCACGTCGCTAACCATTTTTTAAGTAGCAAGTAAAATATTTTGGCCTAATAATATGTCCAATACAATGCCTACTTGAGTGCTTTGTGCAACTATAGGTACCCAGTTAATGTAAAACTATGAATTAAATTTGAGTTCAGGAAACCAAGATGGAATTGACTACAATGACCTGTATGCTGCTTTAAAAAGAACCTTAGTGGAATTTTATGCAGTTCCATTAAATGCGAAATAAAAATATTTCTTAGACATTTGTAAATCGGTTTCCTTTAGAGTACTTTTCTTAAAACTTCAAGCTACATCTTTTTCGTAATGTTAACATGTTATAGGTGTAAACTTCAGTGGGTTTATACAATCTGAAAGGCAGGGAGAAATGTCAAGGTAATTTATACCTAAAGAACCAGCTGAATCAGATTTCTTAATGGGAAATATTTTTTCTGACACTTTTTTTTTGTGGAAAATGGATGGACTGGATTTTAGGGCTGGACATTTTTCCCATTGTTAGCTTCTTATTAAGTTCATAGTGTAGTTGTTACTAATTCAGTTTGTGTTGCTCTTACCTGAGAGTAACAGTTATGATGCTCTTTGTTTTATAGTCTTCATGATTAATTCAGAACTCATATGTTAAAGATAAATTCACTGTTAGGTTCTAATTCCCCCTGTATTTGTCTGTTCATTCTTGGCTGCCACAATCAGACTGACAGAAAGGGGGAGGATGCTTTTTTCTGCACCTGTAGCAGATTTAGGTTCTAATTTAAGTTCTGTTAGAATCGAATGCTCAATGTATATCCTTCAAAGGTTTGTTGCTCCTAATATTTATAGTAACATTGGTACTTAAAATTCTCTTTACTGTATGACTAGTAACTTCGTGGAACTTGTGTAGTTACTTGTTATTCAAGGAGTCGTTTTGCTGGGGTTCCCAGTCTTATGGTTTTGTTTTGACATGTGCATGAATAGACTTGATATATAGGCAATTTGAGTATTTTTTTCCCTTCTTTTTAAAGTTTGGAACTGGTATATGCTAGACACCCAAACCTCACATTTTGTGGCTTTGGTAAATCATCTTCCTCATTTTCCTACATGTAACTAGGAATATGAAAATAATGTGTATTCATGTTTGCTGAATTGACAGTACTTGAGAAAACCTGTAAAAGATGAAAATGTTACTGATTTAAATATT